CAGGCTGGAGTGCAGTGGCGCGATCTCAGCTCACTGCAACCTCCGTCTCCCGGGTTCAAGTGATTCTCGTGCCTCAGCCTCCCCACCTCGGCCTCCCAAAGTGCTGGGATTACAAGGGTGAGCCACACGCCCAGCATATTACATTGTTTTGAGACAAGGTCTCACTATATTGCCCAGGCTGGTCTGGAACTCCTGGCCTCAAGTGATTCTCCCACTTCAGCCTCCCAAACTGCTGGGATTACAGATGTGAGCCACTTCGTCTGGTTCATGTATATATATTTTAGAGATGAGATCTCACTGTGTTGCCCAGGCTGGTCTCGAGCTCCTGGGCTCAACCAATCCTCCCACTTCAGCCTCTCAAGTAGCTGGTACTACAACTGGGTGCACTGCATCTGGCTTCCCTGAATATATTTTAAGTTATTCAAGAATCCCATTCCACTCCTACCCCCCATATCCACTCTGGCTACACTTAGTTGAATTTTTATATGGGGGTCTCCCTATGTTGCTCAGGCTAGTCTCAAACTCCTGGCCTCAGGTGATCCTCCTGCCTTGGCCTCTCAAAGTGCTGGGATTACAGGTGTGATTCTCCCCCCCCTCCCAGACAGTCTCACTCTGTCACCCAGGCTGGAGTGCAGTGGCATGATCTTGGCTCACTACAACCTCCACCTTCCAGGTTCAAGCAATTCTCTTTCCTCAACCTCCTGAGTAGCTGGGATTACAGGCGCCTGCCAACGCGCCAGCTAATTTTTGTATTTTTAGTAGAGTTGGGGTTTTGCCATGTTGTCCAGGTTGGTCTCGAATTCCTGACCTCAGGTGATCCACTCACCTCAGCCTCCCAAAGTGCTGGGATTACAGGAGTGAGCCACTGCACCTGGACTACAGGCATGATTCTTAAAAGGAGGCTGGCCTGGCCCAAGGTACTGAAATGAAGACTTTGCGGACTGTGGATGGGTGGGGTGAGTGGGTAGGGGGTGCGCCAGGGGACCAGGATTTCATCTTTGTTGAACAGTGAGGATTCACCTTAGTCTTTTAGGGGCCTTGAACTGACAGGAACTGAAACCCTCTTTAAATAGCATTTGCCACACTTCATCCCATTTCTTATTTACTTTTAGTGTTTTTATAACTTCTCTAGGCAGCCAAGCAGCTTAAGGGATTCTGGTTTGAGGTTCTCCTGTGTGTATGGGCTTTGCCTGTTTCCAGGTAGTGCTCAGGCAGAGGCCTAGAGTATCTTTCATTCCATCATGCGTTTGCATGTTGAGCTGGGCGCTGCTACTGGAGGTCCCCTCCAGCCGACAGGCACTGAGCTTTGCTGCAGAGGAGGCAGCCTGCCTTGGGCTCCCTTAGTATAAGGTGTGTCCAGGTATCCCTGGCTTTCTGTCACTGTTTCTTTGCTTTTTCTTTTTTTACCTTCCAAACTAGTCTTTGGCCCTCTCCTGGGTGGCCTCTGTCTGGCGACAAGCAGACCGCTTTCACTCAGTCTCCCTCACCACCAAGACTGACGTTAGTCTGGGTGGATGGGGCGATTGGCATCACCTTTGATAGAGGACCCTGAGGCTGAGAGACCTCAGGTGACATGGGAAAAGACATGCCAGGAAGTCAGAGACAGAGCCAAAGCCTCTAACTTTTCCCTTCCAGCATTATGTAACCCTACAAAATTTAATCTCCCTTCTGTTACTTATTAGTAGATATACAATACATGTACATGAGAATGTCTGCTGAGGCAGGAGCCCACGGGGCCACAGGCTGTGCCACACACAGTGAGGTGTGAAGGAGAAACCTGGCTGTGAGGAGCCTCCATTGGTTGGTGGGCTGGTGGGGGGATGGGGAGGAGCAGGGAGCCATCTTTGGATCTCTGACACTCAGCGATGTCATAGTCATGTTCTGTGAGGTTCTGACAACGACCAGTTTGTAGTTTAGCTTCAGGCCAAGTGCTTCAGCTCCATATAAGAGGTAGCTTTCTTAAGAGCAGAGATGGAACAGTTTCCTGCGCAAAAGATGGAAATACTTCCTGTGCGTAAGCGCCAGCCTTTCATCCTTCGAAGTATGTGGGCAGAAATAGATGGTCAATAAGCAGGGTTGGGGTGGCGGGACGGGGAAGCATAGGTCTTGGGGGTGGTGTCTGGGTGCCACTTTGGGTTGGAGATGCTCTTAGTTCTCTGGTTTGCCCTCGAAGCTGCTGCCTGTGGGACTGTCCTGGGTGTGCCCACCTGTGAGTATGTGTATACAAGTGCTGCTCTTGACCTGGCATGGGCTTGTATGATCCTTGTCATCCACTGGCGTGGTACCTGCCAACTGTGCCAAGTGTCACTTGCCAATGTGGGCAGTTGCTGGGAAGCAGCTGGACCTCAGCTTGAATATCTGGTCTAGAAAGGCCTGGCAACCTTGAGAAGCTAGAGTGCTCTGGCAAAGGGGGGTATTGGTCAGATTACTTGTGGAAACCCTGCTCACCTCAAGGCCTTGGAGAGACAAGGGAGGAGGGAGTAGCTTGGGCATGTCAGGCCCTGGGAACCTGGTTGTAGAAGGAGCAGAGAGGGGCTGTCTGTCCGGAGAAAAGGCCTGGCCTGCCATGAACTCTCTGAAGGGTGAGGGATTACAACATGTAGAGATGGTGACCTCAAGGCTCAGAGGTGGCTGGAGATGGAAGGGACTGCCGAGAAGGAAGATGGTAAGCTCCGTATGAGTGGAGGTATGCAAGTGGAAGGCGGGCAACACTCAGCTGGCTCTGACAGGGCAGAGGGATGGATGAGGTGGCCTTAAGCTCCCTGAACTCCTGAGTCTGTAATGGGGACCTGGATTAGTGACTTGATACCTGCCAGCTCTTGTCAAAACCAGCACTATCTTTGCCTTGTTTTTTTTTTTTTTTTTTTTTTTTTTTTTTTTTTTGACAAAGTCTTGCTCTGTCACCCAGGCTGGAGTGCAGTGGTGCAATCTCGGCTCACTGCGACCTCTGCGTCCTGGGTTCAAGTGGTTCTCCTGCCTCAGCCTCCAGAGTAGCTGGGATTACAGGCTCGGACCACCACACCTGGCTAATTTCTTGCATTTTTAGTAGAGACGGAGTTTTACCATATTGGCCACGTTGGTCTCAAACGCCAGACATTGTGATTTGCCCACCTCGACCTCCTAAAGTGTTGGGATTACAGGTGTGAGCCACCACGTCTGGCCTCTGTCTTTGCCTTTTGATATAGATTGGAACCTTGATGATGGGCACCAACAGTACTGGTTGTAGGGGCTCAGGTTTGGCTGGGAGGCTTAAAGGAGTTGGCAAGAGGTGGGCAGGGGTGAAGAGGCAGGTGGCCTGTCAGGTCAGATCGTTTGCACACCTCAAACTCAGCTATAGTTTCTGGAAGCAGCATTTTGAAAACTCATGTTCTGGTGGGGCTTATTTCTGAATATAGGACTCATAAATAGCTGGCTCTCTTGGCCTTTCAAAGGAAAAAAAAAAAAAAAAAAACAATGACATCTCTTCCTTTGCATTATTTTCTCCAACTTTCAATTTTTTTTTTTTTGACGGAGTCTTGTTCTGTCACCCAGACTGGATTGCACTGGCGAGATCGATGGATCTCGGCACACTGCAACATCCGCCGCCTGGGGTCAAGCGATTCTCCTGCCTCAGCCTTTCGAGTAGCTGGGACTACAGGCAAGTGCCATCATGCCCGGCTAATTTTTTGTATGTTTAGTAGAGACGGGGTTTCACCGCGTTAGCCAGGATGGTCTCCCATCTCCTGACTTCGTGATCCACCCGCCTCAGCCTCGCAAAGTGCTGGGATTACAGGTGTGAGCCACCGCGCCCGGCCTCAATCTTTAAACTGCTCTTTTTTTCACCCTTCAATTCTTTCCAGGCAAAGACCGTTAGATACTTTCTTTCCAAATAGGGCTGATACTCGCATTTGAAGTGGAAATGTTTCTTTCTTGCATGGGGCTGTCTGTGCAATGCAGGATATGTAGTATCCCTGGCAATTCCTTCCTGTTACTGAATCCCAGCAACACCTGCCAGTCATCCAGGCACAGTCCCTACGATTTTCAGAACATCCCTTACAGAAGTGCCACTGTGGCTCCTACACTTTGAAACAGATTGCCTGAATAGGAGAAGTGACTAGATCAAGGCCATACCATCACATCAGCCAGTGGCAAAGTGGAAACCAAGTCAAATCCCATTCTTTCATTCATTCAGTCACTCATTCATTCTCGAAGCTTTAAATCTTTGTTCTAGGGTGTGTCAGGAGAGCAGAGAGAATAAGAGCCTGAACCGAGGCAGTGAAAAGGGTAAGAAGAAAAGTGTTATTCTTTGCGCACAAAACTACAATATCTCACAAATTTTCTGCTCTTGCTAAACTTTGTTTTCCTGTTTTAGTCCGTTGGTTCCACAATTTCGGGCGCCAATAAAGACTTTCTGGCATTCAGTGGAAAGAGCCTAGTTGAGCAGGATCCGCAGAAGCGGAATCAGGTGCCTTTCGGGTGGGCAGCGAGATCCAAGAGCCCAAATGTCTAGGTCTTGGCAAGGAAGCAACTGTCCTCCGGCAGGCATGAGGAGCGAGCTGCAACCGCGTTTCTCTCGTGGCGCGGCGGCGGAACCGGGTAGAGGTGGCCTACCATCGGCACTCCGTGGTGGGCCCACGAGTGTTTTCCCGGGCAGGGGAGCTGACAGGGGGCCAGGGGCGCCGAGGCCGCGGTGCGGCGGGAGCAGAGGGCAGCGCAGCTGGGCTGGACTTACCCTTTACACGACCGAGGCCGAGGCCTCTGAGAATCGCGGGACCACCTCTTTTAAGCCCTTGGCGATCCCGGCTTGGTTCGGGGACGGGTCTGGCGGGGTGGGCGGGGCGGGCAGGCGAGACGGGTTATTTCTCAGTTTAGCCTCTGTAGCCAGCGCCAGTCCGTCGTTCTGTTTGAATGAATGATCCCAGCGGCCGCGCCCAATGGGCGTCCGCGCCTGCTTAATATACATGAGGCACGCAGCCAATGGCCAGGCGAGGAGGCTGTTTTAAACGGCAGAGCCAGCTGGCCAATCAGGCGGCTCTCGTGGAGGCAGCTAGCGCGAGGCTGGGGAGCGCTGAGAAGCGCGTCGTGCCCTGCGCTGCCCAGACTAGCGAACAATACAGGTACGTCTCGCACCGCCCGCACCCGCCGCCGCCACCGCCGCCACCGCCGGTACAGCCTACACAGCCGCAGCGCCTGCACAACTTTCCGGCCCGCTCCGCCGCGAGCGCTCCCCGCCGCCACGTCCCCCTACCTCTCCTCCCAGCTCCCCTCCCGCCCCCTCCGCCTTCCCTCTTGCTAGGCGGCCGGGAAGGAAGAAGCAATTCAGGTGTTTCAACTTTTCCAACGCTTTCTCCGAGCTCCCCGCTTTCGGGGGTCGGGTCCCTCGGCAGACGCCTGCCCCTGGTGCCCCAGGGGCCGCAGCCGGGAACCCAGGGTCCCCGAGGCCAGATGTTCGGACAGCTGCGGCTCCGGCGGTGGGGCAAGCAGAGGGGCGGCTGCGGGCTGTGTGATCTGGGCTCGGGAGGTGCGCGTCCAGGCGCTGGGCGGCGGCAGCGGGAAGGGGGCCGGGAGCTCCCCGGCCCGCTACGGACTCCGTGGGGGGCGGGCGGTCGGGGGCCGCCGAACGGGCAAAGTTCACTCCCGGGCTCGGCCCGGCGCCGCGCCGGCCCGCGGGCTGTGCCGCTGGCTCTGCGTTAACATGGCCGTCGTGGAGCGCCCGGCTGCCCGGGGGGGCGCGGGCCGGGCGCCCCCCTCTCGCCGCCCGCCCGCCGCGCGGCGCCGCCGCGGCTAACATGGCTGGCGCGGCAGTGGCCTCCGGCAAAGGCAGGAGAGGCGACCGGAGTGGGCGGCGGAGCCCCCGGCGGGCTCTGGCCTCGGCTTCGGCGCCCGCGGCCCGGGGCGGGCGGCATACAGGGCTGGGGGCACCGCCGCGGGCCCTGGAGCAGCCCAGAGTCATGGCTGCATGGGCGCCTTTGTTATCCCGAGGAGTGCGCCCCGCGCCGGGGGGCGGGGAGGTCCGGCCCCGGCCCCCGAGACCCTGGCTGCCCGGGCGGGGCGGGGAGGGGTGGGGGCCGGCGGGCGGGCTGCGGCGGCGGCGGCGGAGCCCGGGCCGCTTTGTTCGCTGCTGCTGCTGCCGCCGCCGCCGCCGCCCCCGCCGTCGCCGTCGCCCGCGCCGGCCGCGCGCGGATCAGCCATTTTAGCGAACGGGACCCCGATGCGCGGCGGACGCCGCCACCACTGCCGCGGCTGCCGCCGGCCGGGCCGCACACACCCCGCACGCCGCCGCCGCCGCCGCCCCCGACTCCTTGCATCCGCCGGGGATGACAGCGGCATATTTCAGGGGTACTTTCTTTCATCAGGAGGCTTTTGACAAAATGGAAGGTGAATTACGGGTGTCCCGATGACCCGGCACGGTGGCCGAGGCGGGCTGCCTGCTGCCGGCCGGGACTCCCCCTCGCCCGGTCCCGCCCCGCCCCGCCCAGGCTGCCGCTGCAGAGCTCTGTTAGGCAGTCTCTCGGGCGGCAGCTGCCAAGGGGAGCGCTTTAATTTTGCATGATGACCTTGGGTGTGGGAAAAGGAAAAGATGGCGGGAAGCTGGGGGGTGGGACAGGGACGATGACATGCCGCAGCTGCATTTTTATTTGGAAACTTTGGAGAAAGTATTGCAGGCGAGACCTCCGTTCTGGGTTACAGATTAGCACCACTAGTCCTTTTGATACACCCTCCCCCTTCAGATAGTGAGGAAGTGATGAATTGAACTAATAGTACGGGGTACCTGCTCACTTTCCAGATCTCCCGTGTTGTAAAGCCATTTTTTAACAAGCCAAAATGCATCAACAATAGTAACATTTCAGATGTTCCCTTCCTGTAGTTCTGCTTTGGTCTTGTGTTCAGCAATGGTAACACTTTTTTTTTTTTTTTTTTTTTTTTTTTAATTGCATAAGAGTTAGCAGATGAACAGATAGTCTTAAGTCATTGATTTCAAGCTTCGGTCACCCCCACCAAATGTGTCCTCGCTGTGCCCTTCCCACTTTGTGATTATACTTTCCGAAACGTAGCAGTTCAAGGCAGCACTGAGTACCCTACTTGGGTCGGCTCCATTTGGAGAACTTGATCGCTCTTGAGAAGTAACTCGCAAACCAGCGCGCTTCATGCTGGTCAAAAGTTAAATGACAAGCGACAGTGAAACTGATTTCTTTCCCACCCTGCCTTCTACCACTGGTGTCAGGCATTGGGGAAAGGGGACTTCCTAACAGCAAGTGTAGTTTTAATTTTGCTCTGCCTTTGGTACATCTTGTAGTTCTCCAATTCCTCCTTGCTTTTCCTCATTGTTTCTTTCTCTTCTCTCACAGTCAGGATGGCTAAAGGTGACCCCAAGAAACCAAAGGGCAAGATGTCTGCTTATGCCTTCTTTGTGCAGACGTGCAGAGAAGAACATAAGAAGAAAAACCCAGAGGTCCCTGTTAATTTTGCAGAATTTTCCAAGAAATGCTCTGAGAGGTGGAAGGTATTTTTCTTCTGTACCCTTCAAACTAGTCTTAGTTGAATTTCTCACTGTAGAATAACTTACCTTCAGACTTTCTCCAGATGCTTGCTTACTTAGACTCATTTTGCTCGTCTTTAGAATTTTGTGTATGTGCTTTTATTTTTTTTTCAGCCTCTGCACAGGTTTGAGGCCTTCACCCCTTTTTGCAAGTGGTTCTAGCAACTGCCACTTTAATCACAAGACAACTGAACAAGTATGTGTTCACTGCTTCAAGGGATCTAACAAGTCCTGTTCTTTGCAGACAATGTCCGGGAAAGAGAAATCTAAATTTGATGAAATGGCAAAGGCGGATAAAGTGCGCTATGATCGCGAAATGAAGGATTATGGACCAGCTAAGGGAGGCAAGAAGAAGAAGGATCCTAATGCCCCCAAAAGGCCACCGTAAGTGACTATAGGATTCAAAATAACAATTAATACCTTTTCTTCTGCTTGGAAGATTTGGTTTTTTGGTCGTCCTTCATTTCATTTCGAAATGAAATTTTTTTTTTGTTTGTTTTTGAGATGGAGTCTCGCTCCCTTGCCAGGCTTGAGGGCAGTGGCACAATCTTGGCTTACTGCAGCCTCCTCTTCCCAGGTTCAAGTGATTCTCCTGCCTCAGCCTCCCTGAGTAGCTGGGACTACAGGCGCGTGCCACCACACCTGGCTAATTTTTGTATTTTTAGTAGAGATGGGGTTTCACCATGTTGACCAGGATGGTCTCAATCTCTTGACCTCGTGATCTGCCTCAGCCTTCCAAAGTGCTGGGATTACAGATGTGAGTTAGCACCCCTGGCCAAAATGTTTTTAAGAGATACTTTACCTAAAAGATGGTGACACCTTTGCAAGCCATTTTGTACTTGGGCTTTGTGCTGCAGTGCCGGTGTTGTCTGTGGTTGAGGCTGAGGTGTTTGTGGGCTGTGGGTACACGTTCACAGTGGTTTTCTGTTGGCCTTTCCATTGTGCTGGAGGCACCCTAGTTTTGGTGTCAGTGTCCTGGAAGTATGTTCTTTATGCCTTTCCCAGTTACTGAAAGACTGAGATAGCAGCATACATTTTAGAAGCACTTTACACGTTCTAGAACCTACAACTTTGTAGTATTGTATCAGGTCACATTAGGGAGAAGTCATAGTGGTAGGAGGGAGATTCTACTCGGGAATGTGGGATTTCAACTGCAACCCAAATTTTTTTGTGGTTTCTCATCTAATTTATGTAATTCTTCCAAGGTCTGGCTTCTTCCTATTCTGCTCAGAATTCCGCCCCAAGATCAAATCCACAAACCCTGGCATCTCTATTGGAGACGTGGCAAAAAAGCTGGGTGAGATGTGGAATAACCTAAATGACAGCGAAAAGCAGCCTTACATCACTAAGGCGGCAAAGCTGAAGGAGAAGTATGAGAAGGTAAGGCGGGGCTGGTGGCCTGGACTGGTGAACAGGCAGTGACTGTGCTATCAGTAGGTTGCAGGGCATGTGGCAGCTTTGCTAGGCTGAGCACTTAGCATAGCACTCAAGGGCCCATCCCCCTTCAAGGTAGCCACGGGTGCTGGTGTTCATACTTTTTTGACAGGTCTTTGTTTTGGGGACAAATACAGGCTTGAAACATTTTACTTACTCTTTAAGAAAAAAAAAATGATAACAGGATTTGATAGTGCTACTAATATGACTTGAAGGACACTTGAACACTCATTAACTTTTAAATTCAAATGGCTATAGAACCAAATTCATATATGGAAACATACTTGAAATATATATGATAGCTGCCCAATCTTACTTGATTTCAGTTCCTGTTTTCCTACCTGAGATGAGGACTGCATATTTCTACTTGGTGTTAAAACAGCTGCATACTCATTTGAAATATGTCCCTGTTCCTCCAGGATGTTGCTGACTATAAGTCGAAAGGAAAGTTTAGATGGTGCAAAGGGTCCTGCTAAAGTTGCCCGGAAAAAAGTGGAAGAGGAAGATGAAGAAGATGAGGAGGAAGAGGAGGAGGAGGAGGAGGAGGAGGAGGAGGATGAATAAAAAAACTGTTTATCTGTCTCCTTGTGAATACTTAGAGTAGGGGAGCGCCGTAATTGACACATCTCTTACTTGAGAAGTGTCTGTTGCCCTCATTAGGTTTAATTACAAAATTTGATCACGATCATATTGTAGTCTCTCAAAGTGCTCTAGAGATTGTCAGTGGTTTACATGAAGTGGCCATGGGTGTCTGGAGCACCCTGAAACTGTATCAAAGTTGTACATATTTCCAAACATTTTTAAAATGAAAAGGCACTCTCGTGTTCTCCTCACTCTGTGCACTTTGCTGTTGGTGTGACAAGGCATTTAAAGATGTTTCTGGCATTTTTTTTATTTGTAAGGTGGTGTTAACTATATGGTTATTGGCTAGAAATCCTGAGTTATCAACTGTATATATCTATAGTTTGTAAAAATAACAAAACAACCAAGACAAACTCTTGATGCTCCTTGCCTGGCGTTGAGGCTGCGGGAAAGATGCCTTTTGGAGGGGCTGTAGCTCAGGGCATGCACTGTGAGGCTGGACCTGTTGACTCTGCAGTGGGCATCCATTTAGCTTCAGGTTGTCTTGTTTCTGTATATAGTGACATAGCATTCTGCTACCATCTTAGCTGTGGACAAAGGGGGTCAGCTGGCATGAGATATTTTTGTTTTTTGTTTAAGTGCGGTAGTTTTTCAACTGTTTGTTTTTAAACAAACTGTAGAACTCTTCATTGTCAGCAAAGTGAAGAGCCGCTGCATCAATGAAAGTTCAAGAACCTTCTGTACTTAAACATGATTTGCAACGTTGTTATTTTTTTTGTATGTTTAGAATGCTGAAATGTTTTTGAAATTAAATAAACAGTATTACCTTTTTAAAACTGTTCTCTATTATAACAGTCAATTTCTGACTCACAGCAGTGAACAAACCCCCACTCCGTCGTATTTGGAGACTGGCCTCCCTGTGAATGTGGTAGCTTCCTCTCTTACTCAGTGGCCAGCTCACTTAGGGCTGAGATGAAGGAGAGGGCTACTTGAAGCTACTGCCTGCTTTTGTTTGTGTGAGTGGCATTAAGATGAAGTCTGGAGGAGCTAAGAGAAGGACATAGGCAAGGTTCAGCAGCCTTCCAAGGTACAGGAAGGTGGATGATGAGGACTAAAGCTGACTGACTAGGTTTAACTTTTTTTTGTTCCACTTTCACTCCTTATTTTGTGTGCCAAGTGCATTGTTAAATAGCAATTTCAGAGTGGCCTTTCAAAAACTCAGGCCTCAGTTTTCCTCTTTCACACCTACCCCTGTGCTCCTGGCACATGTTATTTGTGGTGCCCAACATTTGGGGTCTTGTGCCTGCTGCTTGTCTCCTGGACACCAGTGAGGGTATGTGGGATGGAGTGGTGGGGTAGGAGACAGTATCCATGTTGCTCCTACTTTACTCCTTCAAAACTCCAAACCCCCAAGGAAGATTGTAGGCTCCATCTTGGGCCACCTGAGCTATAGGGCAGGCTAATAGAATCAACCATTTCTAAGCACTAAATGTATCATGAAAAGTTGAATGGCCTACTCACAAGATTAGCTCATTCACTGGAAATGTAGATTGATGTTCAATGTTTTTAAACTGGAAGAAGCTTGGTTTGTGTGTCAGTGGTTGTATTAGTGGGTAGTGTAACATTTTCTCCAGGCTGGAGTGAGGGGACAGTAAATGCCATTCTGAAGGCTGATGTGTACATATGTCATTACTGTCTGTAGCAATGAAGGATACGGTACTGTGTTGTGGGTGAGTGTCGCTATTGCCCAGCATTAATATTTGGGCGTGGGTGTTTGAGGCTATGAGACATGCAGGAGTGTTTTTGTGGTATTTTAAGAGAAAGTAGCTTTTTCTTAAAATTCATTGTTCAGAAACTTGCATTTCTGGAGGCGGTGTCCTCCACCCTGTCGGGTCCTGGATGAGTACAAGTTATGGTCATGGTCACAGCCTGATCTCTATGTATTCATAGCCATTCCGTCTCCCATCAGAACTGTTTGTCCTGAATGTGTTCTCTAGTTCTAGAAAATGACCACTAATTTAAAAAACTTGGTTGTGAGGTTTGCCCAGAGGCACTTGTTCCGGAATTGCCCCTCCTGCTTTCAGCCATGTCCTTGTCACTTGGCATTCTAAGCTAAAGCTTCTGCTTCCCAAACCATGATGTGCTAGGAGGCCAAGATCTGGGAACTGTGGCCAGCCTTGTCAAATGTGGAAGAGAAACAACCTGTAGTAAAAAAGTGATTTGTTAAGTGGTGCCCGTCTACCTTGTAACTAGACACACCAACCAGTCCAGTAAAGGGCAAAGGATGGAAAGGTGTAACTTGAGCTTCCAAAGTAGCTAAGCAGAAGTAGGGAAGCAGTTTAGCCAAATGATTTTTGATTAGGCAAACATTGAGTTTTAAAGAGACTGTCAAGTTGAGGCCACTTGGTCCATTAGCTGGTGCAGCCAAGACCACTACTCAGCATTTTCATACTGTCACAAGATTGCTCCTCTAATGGAATAATGCCCTAGTTTCTCTTGAGATGCTGTAAGTGGCATGTTACCTAAGGCATAGGCTTAGCTTGATTGCTGGGCTCACTGTGTTCTTAAGATGCCAACCTGTTGCTTCCCCCCCACCCCCACACCAGTTTAAAAAGATAGTACCTGTTCCCTCTAACCACCTCATCCCATTCCTGAATGACATTTTATCTTTTGGAAAGAACAAGGCTGTGGTGAAGTGACTTGTCCGTGTCTCCTGTGTGTGTCTGTTCTTGTCACAAATGTATTTGGGGACGTTGGATGCATTCATTTTTCTGTAATAAAGTTTCTTAATCACTCTTCCCAAAAAGTAATCAGTGGGCTGTCTGCAATCTGTTTGAGATACTGAATCTCTGTACTTTTGGTTGATTATAATCAAGGTTTTAAAAGTATAAACTTTGTGTTAACCACAGATCTGAACTAACATTTACTGGAATGATACTATTAAAATGTTGCAAGTGTTAAGGACTCCAAAGCCCCAAGTTCAACCTCTTGGCCAGAGGCATAAGAGGGGGAGTTGGTTCTGAAGCTCTGGACCTGGGATAAATGGGCAATTTGCAGGATGCTAGTAAGCTACTGTTTGATAAAATGGTTAATAACTTGCAATCAGCCAGCCCTGCCCACCAGGGTTCCTCAAGGCCAAGGGTCTGGGCTTAGTTGGCTGACTTAGCCATGCCCAACAACGAGTTCTGCATGAGAGCCATGGGGGCCACTTGCTGTTCTTGGCTCCCAGCTCAGTTTTCTGTGGAGCCCAGGCCTTTCTGTGAGAGAAAGGCCATTGAGCCAGCTTGGCAGCCCCAAGCTTCCCTTACTGCTTCAACCAGAGCAGTCTTCCACCCTGTTTTATATGTTGGGCATCCTACGATTTCAGCTTTCAAAAGCTGGGACACCGTATCAATAAAAGGATAAGAGATACATGACTATCTCAGTAGACACAAAAACCTTGACGAACACTTTTTCATGACAAAAACGAGTAGAAGGGAACTTCCTGAACCCGATATAGGAGGTTTAGGAAAACCCATGTTATTAATCATCATACTGAAAATTCTAGCCAGGGCAATTAGGCAAAAGAAAACATCCATACTGAAATTGAGAAGACAAACCTATGTCTATTTGTAGATGATATGATCTTGTATTCCTTGTAAGGAATTTCCAAATAAAACTAAAATAAATGAATTCAGTTGCAGTATTACAAGATTAACATACAAAAACTAGTATTTCTATACACCAGCCATGACCAATCTGAAACTAAGAAAACAATTCTATTAAATTTCTACAATAACATCAAAAAGAATAAAATATTTAGGAATGAACAATATAAGTACAAAACATTAAAGACCTAAGGAAATAGATATTCCACGTACATGAATTGAAAGATTTAATATTGTTAAGATGGCAATACTCCTGAAATTGATCTAGAATGCAATCCCTATCAGGATCCCAGCTGGCTTCCTCTAGTAGAAATCAGGCGGATTCTAAATTTCATATAGAAATTCAAGAGATGCAGGATGCTCAGATCAATCTTGAAAACAGTTGGAGAATTCACTTTTCTTGATTTCAAAACTATTTTATTAAAACCTGTTTTTTGAGACAACATTTTACTCTGTTGCCCAGGCTATTGTGCAGTGGCACCATCACAGCTCATTGCAGCCTCAACCTCCCAGGCTCAAGTGATCCTTCCACCTCAGCTTCCAGGTAACTGGGACTACAAATGTTCACCACTGCACCTGGCTTATTTATTTATTTAAGAGACAGGGTCTCACTATGTTGCCCAGGCTTGTCATGAACTCCTGGACTCAATTGATCCTCTTGCCTCAACCTCCCAAAATGTAGAGATTACGGCACACTGGTGAGTGACCACACCTGGCCTATTTCAAAACTTACAACAAAGCCAGGTGTGGTGGCTCACGCCTGTAATCCCAGCACTTTGGGAGGCCAAGGCAGGTGGGTCACTTAAGATCAAGAGTTCGAGACCAGCGTGGCCAACATGATGAAACCCCATCGCTACTGAAAATAAAAAAAAAAATCTGAGTGTAGTGGCACATGCCTGTAGTCTCAGCTACTCTGCAGGCTGAGGAAGGAGAACCACTTGAATCCAGGAGGCAGAGGTTGCAGTGAGCCGAGACCATGGCCACTGCACTCCAGCTTCTGTGACAGAGTGAGACTCCGTCTCAAAAAACAAAAGTAACCCCAAAACTTACAACAAAGCTACAGTAATCAAGACAGTGTAATATCAGCATAAGGACGGACATATTGGCTAATACATTTATGGCCAACTGATTTTTCAATAAGGTTAAAAACATTAAGGGGGGAAATAATTTTTAATAAATGATGTTGGGACAACTGGATATCCATATGCAAAGAAATGAATTTTCACCCCTCCCTAACGCCACATTCAAAAATCAAACAATGGAATAAAGACCCAAATACAAGAGCTACAACTATAAAATTCTTAGTAAGACACGTAAGTGTGAATTTCATAACCTTGGATTTGGCAATAGTTTCTTAGGACAACAGAAACACATGCAACTAAAGAAAACAATAGATAAGTTGAAATTCATTAAAATTAAAACAAAAACTTTTGTGCCTCAAACAATACCACCACGAAAGTGAAAAGACAACCTACAGAATGTGGGAAAATATCTGCACATCACATATCCTATAAGGATCTAGTATTCGAAATATATAAAAAAAATTTACAGCCAGGCATCGTGGCTCACGCCTGTGATCCTAACACTTTGGGAGTCTGAGGTGGGTGGATCACCTGAGGTCAGGAGTTCAAGACCAGCCTGGCCATCATGGTGAAACCCCATCTTTTTAAAAAAAAAAATACAAAACTATTACAACGCAGCCATAAAGAGACAATCTGATTTTAAAAAATGAGCAAAAGATCTTAACAGACATTTCTCCAAATAAGATGTACAATAAACACATGAAAAGATGCTCAGCATCATTAGTCATCAAGAAATTTAAATCAAGACTATAATAAGATACCATTTAACACTCACTAGGATGGTTATAATAATGATTTTAAAAAGGGAGCTCTTTCCTTTCCCTGCTGCGGCCGCAGCCATGAATATGCTCAGGCTTCAGAAGAGGCTCGCCTCTAGTGTCCTCCGCTGCGGAAGGAAGAAGGTCTGGTTGGACCCCAATGAGACCAGTGAAATCGTCAATGCTAACTCCGGTCAGCAGATCCGGAAGCTGATCAAAGATGGGCTGATCATCCTTAAGCCTGCGACGGTCCATTCCCCGGCTTGATTCCAGGAAAACACCTTGGCCTGCGGGAAGGGCAGGCGCATCAGGATAGGTAAGCAAGAGGGTACAGCCAACGCCTGAATTCCACAGAAGGTCAAGTGGATGGGGAGAATGAGGATTCTGCACTGGCTGCTCAGAAGATACCGGGAATCTAAGATTGACGGCCCCACGTATTACAGCTTCTACCTGAAGGTGAAGGGGAATGTGTTCAAAAACAAGCGGATTCTCATGGAACACAGCTGCAAGCTGAAGGCAGACAAGGCCCGTTAGCAGCTCTTGGCTGACTAGACTGAGGCTCTCAGGTCTAAGACCAGGGAAGTACGCAAGCACCATAAAGAGCGCCTCCAGGCCAAGGAGGAAGGAGATAATCCAGAGTGACTGTCCAAGGAGGAAGAGACCAAGAAATAAAAGCTCCTTCTTTGTCTGTGCATACTGACCTTCGTGATTACACAGATCAGCCATTAAATTAACACAAGCCTTTATCTGCTTGCCAAAAAAAAAAAAGAATAAAATAGAAAAATAACTAATATCAGTGAGAATGTAGAGAAATTAGAGTCCTGGTACATTGCAGTTGGGAATTTAAAATGGTGCAGTCACTATGGAAAACAGCTTGCAGATTTCTCAAGAAGTTGAACACAGAATTACCATATGACTCATCAGTTCCACTCCTAGGTATATACCCAAAATAATTGAAAACAGGTATTCAAACAAATACTCGTATAGTAATATTCATGTACATAATTCTTAATAGCCAAAAAGTGAAAACAACCCAAATGTCCATCAAGTGATGAGTGGATAAAATGTGGTATATCCATATGAAGAAATATTGTTCAGCCATAATAAGGAATGAAGTACTGATTCATGCTACAACATAGATGAACTTTGAAATTATTATGCTAAAGGAAAGAAGCCAGTCACAAAAATTACATATTGTATGATTCCATTTATATGAAATGTCCATAATAGGTAAATCTATAAAGAAAATAGACTGGCGCAGTGGCTTACGCCTGTAATCCCAGCACTTTGGGAGGCTAGGGGGCGGATCAGGAGTTCAGGAGTTGGAGACCATCCTGGCCGACATGGTGAAATCCCGTCTCTACTAAAAATACAAAAATTAGCTGGGCATAGTGGTGCAAGCCTGTAGTCCCAGCTACTTGGGAGGCTGGGGCAGGAGAATCTCTTGAACTCAGGAGGCAGAAGTTGCAGTGAACTGAGATCATGCCACTGCACTCCAGCCTGGTGACAGAGTGAGACTCTATTTCAACAACAACAAAAAAGAAAATAGATTAGTGGTTGCCTGGGGCTTCGAGTTATTGGGGGGAAATGGAGAGTGACTTCTAAGAGGTACAGAGTTTTTTGGTGGATAATAAAAATGTTCTATAATTAGTGGTAATGGTTTACAACCCTGAATTTTCTAAAACTTGCACACTTTTAAAATTTTCTTTTCTTTTCTTTTCTTTTTGAGAAGGAGTCTTGCTCTGTCACCCAGTCCAAAGTGCAGTGGTATGATCTTGGGTCATTGCAACCTCCACCTTCCGGGTTTCAAGTGATTCTCTTGCCTCAGCCTCCCAAGTAGCGGGGACTACAGGCATGCACCACCATGCCCGGCTAATATTTGTATTTTTAGTAGAGTCGGGGTTTCACCATGTTAGCCATGCTGGTCTCGAACTCCTGACCTCATGATCCTCCTGCCTCTGCCTACCAAAGTGCTGGGATTACAAGTGTGAGCCATCACGCCTGGACTTTAAAAAAAATTTTTTTTGAGACAGAGTCTCACTCTCTCCCAGGCTGGAGTGCAGTGGTGTGATCTTGGCTCACTGCAACCTCCACTTCCTGGGTTTAAGCGATTCTGCTGCCTCAGCCTCCCATGTGGCTGAGAATACAGGCATCTGCCACCATGCCCAGCTAACTTTTGTATTTTTAGTAGAGATGAGGTTTCACCATATTGGCCAGGCTGGACCTCATGTGATCCACCCGCCTCGGCCTCTCAGAGTGCTGGGATTACAGGCATGAGCCACTATGCCTGGCCTAAAAATTGTACATTTTAAACAAGTG